CCGCCTCGTCTTCTTGAACATGGCGCAAACCCTAACAAAATTCAGAAAAACACCTAAAAACAGAGCCTTCTCGTCGACAAGTGCAGGGATCCAACGCGCCGCCATGATCCAAGGATCATAGGAGATGAGCGACCGGTGCCGGCAGTTGCAACAGGCAGAGAAACTCTAGATGAGAGTTCTCACGAGGGGAGCGAAGGGGTCTAGTCTAGGGAGAAAATTTACCGATACTAAAAGTCGTCGAAAGATTGTGAAGAGGAAGTATGCCACTTTCAGGTGCTGCATTTTTTGGAGTTTGGAGTATAAATTACCATGAGAGGACTTTAGGATTTAAATTGATCAAAGAATAGGTGATCCCGCCGAACAATAAATTCCCCAACAACTGATTTTTTTGGTATCGAAGATGCTTGAGTTCACCAGTAGCGTGCATTTTTTTGTTGGGAGCACCTAGAACTCAGCTAGCTGAGATTTATCTATAGTCTCATTCACATGACATCATCATATATTTTGGCTGGACTTTTTTCCTTTCCCCACGATTTGCACATGCCGTGTTGTTTTTTGGGGCTTGGCCTTTTTATGTCTCCTGTCGCTCATGCTAAAGCAAACATACGAATCCATAAGAGAAGCACATACGTCTTAGTGGGTTCACCTGCACAACATATTTTTAGTTGCCATAACACAGTTGTGGAAAGTGTTTCATTTGTTGTTTTGACCCAGTTTAGCAGTAATCACCAGCATGATGCCTCTGGCGCACAAGATCTATCCCAGACTTGTCCCATACATTATTTATTTATTTTTTGTTAAAAATCCGTCGTTTTTTAATTTTAAATTGATGGAGCTTGCAGTTGCGACCCGACTTCAAACTTGCACTTGCGCCCCTCTTTTAGTACTTGCAGTTGCGACCCACTAGCAATTTTGCAGTTGTAACCCGACTTTTGAAAATTGGCGGTTGCGACCCAACTTCAAAACTTGTACTTGCACCTCTCTTTTAATACTTGTCGTTGCGGCCCCACTTGAATACTCGCAGTCGCGACCCGACTTTGGAAACTTGCAGTTGTGACCCGACTTTGGAACTTGCAATTTCGACCAGACTTTGGAAACTTGCATTTGCAATCCGACTTTGGAAACTTGC